CAAGAGTATCACTAGTCCAACAAGTAATTAAACGGCAGAGGAAGACGACGTATCAGGTTAAGAGGATTGGGGTCCACGTGTACGGACAGGATGTGACAGTGACGGGAAGATGGAGACGAGCACAGTGACTTTAGCGATCGGGAAGGTGAAAAAAGTTAAGCCTTTCCATGCATATGATATGATTGCACGGAGGTTTCTTGCCTTTTTGAGTTTTCACCAGTCGTATTATTTTTATTTTATTTTAAATTATATAATATGGTTTTCGATGTATATAATAAGTTAATAAATTAGTGACGTGAGAGAGTATCTTTGCAGTGAGTAATATGTTTGATTGTCCACGTGTACGGTGGCAGTGGATCTCGTGCCCTGCGCAGTCAGACGGACTATCACTCTTTTTGATGATGAAGAAAAAAAAAAGGGTTTATAACTTAGTCAGAAATGGAAAATACATTTGTATTCATATCGTTAATGTGTTACAACTCGAATTCAAATTCGCATAGTTATTAATTGGTTTTATTTAACTTTTGGATTTTAGGGATATAATTTTTCTGTTGTTATAGTATTATAGACAATAATGTGATAAAAGTTGCAAATGTTACATCATTGCCGCCGAAAACAATAGTGGATAAAATATGATTTTAAAAATTATGGAGTGAAAGTTGTCTATTGACCATACTTGAGAGTCGTTGGGTCTAAAAATCATTATAAAAAGTTAGCTTATGATGTTCCGAGTTTTATTCGTTTTGAATTCACATCACGACATATATAATGATGTCACTTGATAATAATCAAACCACCTTGGCAAACAAAACAAAGTGGGCTAATCTAAAAAGCACTGCAAAACCTATTAATTAGCATAATTAGTCTCATTCTACCTTAGATCAATACCTATTTTGTCTCCTACATTCTCATATTTTATATTTTGAAGACTATTAGTGGTAACTTATTCTATCAATAACACATTAGAATTAGAAATTCAGGGCTAGACTGATCCTTGCACAGGGCCAATAAAACCATAATTTTGTTTCTTGTCACATAAAACCATAATTTTGTTTCTTGACCAAAAAAAAAAACCATAAATAACTTTAGGAGTCTAAGTGGTGTTAGTAGAATTATAGAATAGAGATAAATTCAGGCTGAATTATTTTACTTATACACTAGTTGGTGCAGCTGAATTCAGT